CGTAAATCAGAGGATACAAGAATTTTCAGAAACTTTCGGCAAGTCGATAATTTCCTTTTTTTCATTCAAATTTCGCGGTTTGAAGAATTCATGCTGAAAGGGAGAAACTTCCTAACGACAATCGAATGAAAAACTTAATCGATCCACGAATTTGATCAACGCGATGATAAGATAGGTTAAATAAGGTTTCCCTATTTCACGTGTATTCTCTCTCGATAGGAACTGCGACGAGGAATTCTCATTTCGATGCAGAGGAAAATGAAGTTCGGGAATTCCTGTGACCAGCTAACGTAAGAGGACTCCTATTAGTTCTATAGTTCTTGTTCCGTCAACTTCTCAACGATTTTTTTCGCTCAAATCCTTCGAATCGTTTACAGATCAAGCACCTGTGCTACGTTTCTCCACTTATCAACGTTAAGATGTATCTCTTCATTCTAATCTCTTACTTACATAAATATACACTTCTCGATAATCATAACGATTGCACGATAAACGAAACTTTCTAAAAATATCTCGTCACATTAGAAACATTTAAACAAACACATGTCTCACCGAGATTAAAAAAAAAAAAAAAAAAAAATAAACGAACAACGAACAGTTACGCAAGTTAGTGAAAAATTAGTAAAAAAAAAAAAAAAAAAAAAGAGAAAAACAACAACAACGAAGGAAAACAATGGCACGTGGTGTAAATGCATAAATGAATGACTATAATCGTCCTTGTACGGAGAAGATAAAAGATAAGATCGCGTTTCTCGGATATCATTTCTTCGAGTTACGTTTACGCGAACTGTAACTAGCTTAAAAACGATATAAATACCGGGTCGCCCCGATTTTCGGTGATTCTATCAAACTCAACAAGCGATCGATAGCACTAAGATACGAAGTTACACCGAAACGATTAGCGAGACGCGTGTCAACGTGATGCGCCTGTGCAGTTCTCGCCGTCTTCGGAAATCGGACCGCGAGCTCCCTTCGAGTTTCAAACGAGTGTGCTTCAGGAGGAAAGCGTGTGTTGTCTTTTCGAAATAAATAAATAAATTCACTGGGAATCGTTCTTTTTAGCGTGGCACGATCCACGATACGACGAAAGTCGAAATAAATATAAGGTAATTACAAATTACGATGTATGTATCACAAAACAGAAGATTTATACACCCAAAGTGTGTTTTAACGAGCGGTACAATCTGTAGATAAACTGTGGCTCTGAATCGTGGCTCGCACAACACACTTTGTACAGTAGTCTCAGAAATGCAAACAAACTCTTAAAATCGACCAAGCGTCAGAGTGTATGTTTTTTTCGAGTATCGGAGCAAACAGAAAGTTCCTCACTCTGATGTTGCGATACTATATTTCGTGACGACTGGCATCGTCGGAAGTCAACTGAACGTCCCGAATCTTGTAAAATTAACCAATTTTGTCCTACCTAACAGGTATCCAAGAAAAACACCTCTTGACGATGCTGCGAGGCTCTTTCCCTTCGACTCCATCATCCACGACTCTCCTCCGATCAAGCACCCGCCCTAATTTCGTCAGCTTCCTGTTGCGATAGCCCCGTAAAATCGCAGATCTCTACATGACGGAACACCGTGTGACGTTGTACCTAGTATCTTGGTCCACATTGTTCACGCTGAGTACGCGCAGCAGCCTCTCCGTGTCCTTGCACGCGTGCTTGTTGGTCTGCTGTTGCTTCATCAGCATCATCGACGTTTTCTTCTTCGGCCTCTTCTTGGTCTGCGGCAGAGTGAGCTCGAGCATTTGCTCGAGCTTCAGCCGGATAGGCCAGCCGGTCTCCTTGTACTCGTCCTCCTCGTACGTGGACTCGCCGCCGGCCTTCTGCAGCGTCTGGAAGGCATAGTTCATGGGCAACAGCTTCCTCGGCTGGGTGAACGAGTCGTGGACGCGGACCGGACGAGCCAGGGACGACCTCTTCTTGGCCGGAGTCAGAGGCACCGGCTCGTGATTCTTCATCGACTTGGCCAGGCTGCCACCCTTGGCGTTCTTCAGAACTCTGGTCTCGTCCAGGCGAGCCAGTATCTTGGCGTTCTCCTTCAGTGACGAGGAGTTTATGGTGCTGGACACCCGGCTGTAGTTGTTCATCGTGCTCTTTGCCACCAAGCTGCTGCTCTTGGTGCTCTTCGACAGCTTTAGGTGATTGTTATTGTTGTTCGCGGCGATACTCGGATTATTGTTGTTGTTGTTGTTGTTGCTGCTGCTGCTGCTGTTGTTGGTCACGTGGCGACACTGCTCGGCACACTGCAGGCAATCGTAGTACTTCTCGACCGCGTTGCGTCGTGCCGACGCGGAGAACCGCTCGCGAAGGTTCGCGCAATTCTGACGCTCGCCCGGCTGGCGAGGCTGCTGTCACACTTCCTGGAGGTACTTGAGAGGGCACAGAGTCTCCTTGTACAACACCTCGCCCTCTTTGCCCGTGTGGTCCGCCGATCTCACGTCCGCGGCGCAGCGGACCATCACCACGCCGTCCACCTCCTCGCCAACCTGAATCACGATCTAAGGAGGACACTGGCGTGAGTATTGCGGCCAATTGCCACGTGCGTCTTTTGGTACTGACAATGAGAAGTGCAAGCGGACCTACTAGGACTCAATCTTCAATGTAAATGCAACAAAGATGGTAAAAAAATTATAGAATGTACTTTAATTATACGGAGGGGTCTTCTAAACCTTAGAGGCTTTTCAGGTTTGAAACAAAAATATTGGTAGTAAAACTCTAAACTTCTGATTAAGTGTTGTTTCATAATGTTGGACGTGTGAGGGAGTACCTGGTCACGTAACAGGGTGATCTGATCTGTTAGTTGCAAGTTGCGAGTAACTTGAAGCGTCTTCTGTCCAGACTCCACTCGCATGACGTATGCACTGGGGAAGTAACCCACTCTGCCACCCAAACACTTCCCCTTCCACCAGTCCTTCTCCGATTTGTCGATCACCGTCACTTTGTAACCAGCCCTGCAACACCATCACGTATTTCAGCTATTAGTAGAGGTGATTCATCATCTTTCTATCCTAATGCACTGAACGAGAATAAAGATCATCGAGACATCGAAATAGACGATTCAGGAAATCTCGGTTGTTTTTCTAGATCCCAAGATCGAGTAAAGTAAAAATTGTATTATTCGTATTGCGGAATGATTACTTCAGGTCCAACTCGTCCCGATGTCGCGCTTCAAAGTTGTACAGCACCACGTATAGATTATTGGGTGGCAAAACGCGCTTTCCAGGCGGATTCATGTGATTCTGATTGTTGGGGTGCGGCGAGGGGCAAGGCGAGGTGCTTGCAGACGAGTAGGACTTCTCATTCTCATCTGGCAGCTCCATACTGGACATCCTGATCGCTCCTCTGATGTGCTTGTGGACACTGTGGCCCTGGCCTGGACTGCACGGTGCTGCAATCGAATCGTCAAAGGTCAACAGACCATGATATATAGTTAGGATATACCCTGACAAGTATGAGCTGATCAGAATTGTTTTTTAGAATTATGCTTGGTGGACGCGACCCAGTAAGGTCAAGGATTTGCACTTTTGAAGCTAAAATTGTTGACCACATAGATCATTAAAAAAAGACTAATGTGTAATGTCAAATTGTCGTATAACAAAAATTCATGTGTTCAATTTTTGCGATCAATCAGACAAATCAGACTCGTTGTCAGCCCCAAGTGTTTATCCTCCAGTAACTTTCACGGTTCATGAATTTAATAATTTTGCTGAATAATCCGTGTCTCTCTCTCTTCCCTCCCCCCCCCCTTCTGTACTCGTGGGAGTATTCACGTTTGATAAGTTCCATTCAAGTTAAAATCACCGAGACCCAATTAAACTCGACAAATTAATTAACACTCACATAATCTGTTGATGCTTCCGCTGTCAGAGTATCTCGGTGGCGTGGACTCCCTCTGGCCACCGGTATAGTAATCACGCGCACGATGTCGGACGTGAGCGGTACCCTCCGGAGAATCCAGGCTGAGACTTTTCATCCTTAGGTTCAGCCTCTCTCGTCTACGTTGCGGACTATGCGGCGCTTCATGTTCCATAATGAGCGATCATAGCAAGTTAGCCTTTGAGGTTAGCCGAGTAGTTCGACATTGACGCCATTTTTGCAAAGCGGTGTTACTTTATTGCTATTTTATTTCCTTTTTTTCTTTTCTTTTCTTTTCTTTCTTTTTTGCTCGTCAGTAATTCGTAAGCGGACAGTTGAGGTGGAGAAAAAGTTGGGCAGAAAAGTTTTCTTGCACGATGTTGCAAGATGTTTACCTACCCTTTTTTGTCTCTTTGAAGGTCTTTGAAACATTGTCACAGAAATGGTTCGGGCGTTTTCTTAATTTTTTTTTTTAAGATGTGACAGAGATAGAGGAAGCGTAAGAAGGTACTATATCGGATACAGTCTTCCAGTTCACACAAAAGCGCAACTTCGATTCAATGACAACAGAAAGTAAAGTGGAGTGAACCAAGCTGAAGAGAAATTATTCGGGAAAGAAACAAAGAGAAACGAATCTCAGCGATCCTTCGAATGTGAAATTTCTCGAATATTTCAATTCAAAAGGTTAGTCAAAAGTAAGAGAAAGCAAAATAGAGAGTATGGCGATTTTCAACAAAATTCAAGTTCACACAGTCGATATAAGGCGTGCAAGAAAATCGCAGAGTATTCATACTCACACACACACACACACACACACACACACACGCGCGCACACGCGCATGTGCAAATATGGAAGTGCATCATTTTTTGAATCGA